CTAGCTTCTAGTGGATAAGTGCCCACATTACAAAAAAGACCACCATAATTGTCAGGTTGTTGACAGTCTCAGCAGACACATCAATGACTAAATGGGCAAGGAGAATGAACCATTGCCTCACCCCTAGACCTAGATTACACCTGAAGGGCAGTATCTGAGGCATGTTGGGGGGAAGCTTATGTTGATTCTTTTCATGCTGCACTCATATTGTGAATAAACATCACTCACCTGAACTCTCAGTTCAGCACCTTACACTTTTAAAAAAATTAAAAAATAAAGTTTTAAAATCCTAAAAACGTCTGGTTTGTATACCACTTCGCTTTTCTGAAACCATTAATGCCATTCTTGGGGTACTAATTCGTTTCTTATGGTTATAGACAACCATAGATTCTGACAGTGGTCCTCCTGTCAGGCTGAAAATTTTTTATTCAACACAGCAAGAAATGTTCTGGATTTCCATTTCTGACATTTTTTGGTAATGTGGATTTTTACTTCTAAAGTTTGTTTATATCATATAATTTTATTTTCTTTCAGAAGTGCTATAAACATCTCAGGCTTAATTCACAGTTGTTCTAAGACTACTCTATGCTGGAGGGTAAAAGGGACCTAAAGTGCCAGAGAAGCGTAAGGTGGCCTTAGTTTAACTAAGAATTTAGACTTTCATGGGAGCCAGAGAAAGTATTCTCTAAGTCAGAGCCTTAATGCTAGGTTGTGCCATGGAGTAGGACTCCACTTTAACTGACAGACACCTGGATAGAGCCATCTTTTGTATATGTAAATTTCATATTTAAATACAGTATTTCCTAAAGTCTAGCCACCCAGCTTCACAATGGTTGACATCCATTGTGCCAGCAGAATCGCATATTCCTGCATTATGTATTTAATCTTTTCAAATACTGATTTATTCTCTGGAAACAATTTTTTGAGTGTAGATGGATGGATGTGGCAGTATGACATATTTTCAGAAAAGACCACCATGCCAACATGGGATAGATAACAAACAACAGCCAACACTCAAGGAATTCTTTTAACTCTGCAAACACTGTATGGATTAGGAAAAATTCCAAGAGCCCAGAGACGGTGTTCTTCATACTTATAAAAAGATTTCATCCTTTACTGAATCGAATATGAGAAAGTTTGATTTTCACTTTAAATTGAAGATGATTGAAGTTAACAAGTGAACATTTGTAGTAAGGATTCACAGCAAGCATTTCATAGTCTTGCTTGTCTTTTGAAGTGTTTTCATTCAATGTGTGAGCGTTCATTCGTATGGTGGAAGTGGAAGGATAGCGCTGTGAAATGACAGCAGTGTGCAAGTCCATCTTTTCGGTTTGGCAATATTACCATATATATTTTTGACAAAAAAGGATTAAAAAACAATATGAGAATTTCTACCTGTGTGCATTTGACTTTCTTCTTTCACTCAAGTAGGTGAGGACACAAAAGAAAAAAACAAATATGAAATCAAAGAGGAATGGAAATATTGCTATGGCAGCTATACTGCAGCTCAATACATGTGACCCAATAGCTCATTCCTAATCAAACATACCTCTATTTTTTTAAACAGCTAATATTTTAAACAACAAACAATACAGACTCTCAACCAGCAATGAACTGATACATAATTTAAGGGCATGTTTAAACTACTGTCTTATTAAACAGAATCTCCTCTTGCATGTGGCTGATAGACTTAATTCTTGGTCTCTAGGCATTTTTGGTCTCTAACCTTCCAGCTCAGTTTGCAAAGCCAGCAAGCAGCTTTTGACCTGGTTTCCCTTCTTTTCTGGAGATAAGCATTACAGTAACACGATATCACAACTACATTTTAAAAACAAAATCGAAGGTCAGATGGTTGTAACCCAAGGTCAGACAAAAGTGATCCAAATGATGCTTGACCACCAAGGAAGAAAACCCAAGGGTTAAACGTTCAAGTTACACTAACCCAGGCAGGAGGGATTTTATTGCCCTTGCACTGTTTTCACAGGGACAGCCACATATTTGTGTGAGACACTTAGCTTCTTTCTTTTAGTCAGAACATGTTGCTAATGCTTTTGCTATAGAAACCAGCTATTTAGTAGCTTCATGCACCCAAATTGGCAGTTTGTCTTCAATTTGTCTCACTTCTTTGTCTGCTGACTGAACTCTTAACCTGCCCAGTCATTCACAAGAAATACAAAACAATCCACCCAAGTCTCTCTCTCGTGGCAGCTAGAGAAGAAACACTTTACAACAAAGATGCCAGGAAATCCAGGCCACCAAGGTAGACAGGAAGAGACACACCTGATTCATGCTTTCTGGCTTCCAAAACAAGCATCTTAGCAGATTAAAGCTATTTTGATTTCACAGTTTTCTGGTCTATACAGATAATAGGAAGAGTAGTTTGCACAAGCACGCAAAGCAAAGCAAATTTTCAAATGGACAACCACAATCCACAGCTTCACCTATTCAGATAGCTCATGTAACATTTCTAATGGACTTACAAAACAAAAACAGGATTTTTTATGTTCCTTTACTGTTAAACCTTGGGGACTTATTTACTTCATTGGTTCCACCAATGCAAGCCAAGGAACCCAGACTCCAAACACAAGCAGTCATAAAGTCTTCAGAAACAGGATAAAGCAGCAGAAACTTCCTGCCCTCTGGGTTCTACCTGGCAGGACAGATCCTAAAATGAGCTGGTTATCCCAGGGACAGGAAGGACAAGGCCAACAGGGACATGTGCTGATGTAGTGCCTCTCTGCTGAACACAATCCCTAAGGGAAATCTAACAGTATCACCTCCTAGCCTCCCCTAAGATGAATCCCAGCTATAGTTAAGAGTGAAAATTATACTACTCTTTGCCAAAGGGTAGAGAGAATCTGCCCCATTAACTTGTGAACAATGTCTTATTGTATCCTCAGAACACAGAAGGATAGCACCAATTCCAAACCCAATATCTAGAACTCTTCTCAAGAACTGGTTTCCCGTTAAAGTGCGTACTTAACAACTGAACTTACAATACCGGTACTTGTGAAAGCAGGCAGGCATTACCCCATTGCCTAATATAGCCATGAACATTTGGGCTTGGTTTGCACTACTGACAAATGTGAGAATGAATGTGTGATGTGATGTTCACCCCACACAACGCAGAGCATGTTAAATGAGGATAATTAACCTGATAGGCTGCAGCTAGGGAAGAGCAGAGACTGAAAGCCTGACTGAAGATGGAGCCCAGCAGAAGAAGAACAGGAGGGGCTAGAATAAAGCCAGGAAGTTGGCAGCAGATAGGAGCTGCAGGTGAAGTAGCCTGTAGTTGCTCCTAGGAGGAGGGAAACTCAGAGACAGGAGGAAAAAAACATGCAGGAAAGAGTGAAGGGAAAGAGCAAAAGGTCTGGGAGAAAGCAGACCACAGTTGCTAGACATAGGCTAAAGCCAGTGTGCCCCCCACCCCCACCCCAGCACCACCACAAAGCCGGGAGCGATGAGCGGCTGAAACTGGCAAATCTCCCCCCACCCCAAGCCAGGAGCCAAGAGCCCCAGCGCGCTCTCCCCCTGCCCCCATGAAGCTGGGAGCCCCCCCCTACACTCATACACAGCCCCTAGCTATGCCCTGCCTGCACCCTGAGCTACTCCCCTACCAGTACACAGTCCCTAGCTATGCCTTGCCTGCATCCTGAGCTACCCCCTTGCCTGGACACAGCCCCAGCTACCCCCTCCCTGCACCCTGAGCTACCCACCTGCATGCACACAGCCCCTAGCTACCCCCTCCCTGCACCCTGAGCAATTTTCAAACTTTTTGAACTGAATCCCCTCTTTGAGTTATATTTTTTGGTTGCATCCCCCCACAGCCCAGACAGGCTGGGTGGCCTCCTGAGTGAGTCAGGGTGTGGAGGTGGCGCTCGCTCGCTCCCTCCCTGGACCCCGCTGTGAAGAGCTGGCTCAAGCCCTGCCAGCTCTTGCCCCTCCGCCAATAGAAGTAAAACTATGCCTTCGCCCAAAGGTCCCACCCCGGCCTGGAGCCCCAAGTTCCCCACCCACGCTGGGCCCTCGCATTTTTATAGCATGTTGAGGGGGCCTCATCAAGGAACCCCTGGACCAGATGACCTCCTGATGATCTCCTCTTTCAACCCTAATCTTCTATGAGTCTAAATTGGTCCACATGATCATGAATGAAAGGGCAGGTGGTAATCGGAACAATTCCTGTACTTCACACTGTGAAAAGAATATGCATAATCCATATCTAGGGGGTTAGAACAGGAGATTTCCAGTCAGAACTCCTCCTATGTTATAATCTAAAACAAAAATAAATTCATTTGGATCTGCTGCTGCCTATCACCTACTTGCACACATTAGAATATATACCTGTAGAACAACACACAAAAAGGGACGTTGTACATGTGTCCTCATTTCCTCAGATAAATGCAAAACCTTTTAATTAACAATTTATTGGACCCAAAGCCAGTAGGGACAGTCATTAGAACAGTAGAACCACCTTCCAAAAATAATAAGCAGCATGTTATTTAAAAACACAGACTGACAGGCTGCTTGGGAACCAGGCTATTGCTGTTCCGTAAGCAAGCCTGGTGTGAACATCTGCACAAAAGCTGCCGAAGGACGATGCCACAACGAACATATTCAGTTAACCAGCTCTCAGGAAAACTATATCCTAGAGGAACATGAAGGAAGTAATACCTTTGCAGAAGGTTCTCACAGTGTCTACTTGTTTCAACATATTGTAAGAAGCTGCCTTAACAAAATGGCCAAGAGCCTTGTACTTCTCTAATAAAGAGCTCTTAGTCTTACACCACTTCCCCAGAGAAAAGAGTTCCTCACGATGGTAAAAGTTGGCATTGTACGTCCCTAAAGGAACAAGCACAGTACAACATACAGTTGGACTAAAAAGGAGTTATATTTGCTACTCACTACAGATCCCTCAAATGTATGGTCCTGCAGCATCTCCATGAAAAACAATAAGAAGCAATACACATACCCAGAGTTGGCAGAAGCCAAATTTTACTTACATGTGCTGCGAAGCATTTGGATAGAGCTCTGAAAATTGTGGTGCAGAATCCTCAGGGCCGTGAGGGGCAGCATGGCTAATAACCATCATTATGGGCCTATGGGGATACATTCTCTTAGACATTTTGAAGTAATTAATGCTCTCATTAGTGATTAAGTCTGTGAAGTAGTCCTGTAACATACATTTAACACAAAATAAAAATTACAAAGTGCATCATTAATCAGATCACAGTATTATGTTATACCAAGCAATCATTAGCGCTTAGATCAGGAAGTAAAAACGTACCTTCAAAGAGGCACATGATCATAAAGAACACAGAACACACCAGGCACTAATTACTTTCTTAGGAAGGCATATTAGATGGGAGTGTATTTTGCAAAACTCTCTTACCCATAAAACAGGTTGTATTAACTGAATATGATTACCAGACTTGGCAACATGGTGTTTTCCAGCACATAAAATAGAGCCGATATATACTACTTAAATTTTGTTAATAAAGCTCTTCGACAAAACATAATGATACCAAAGTGCAAGAAACCACCCATACCTAATATCATTTCATATTTACATCTAAGTCCTTATTATGTGCTTTCTTCAAAATATAGATTTGTCTCTGTGCGACCTGGGAGAAGGCTACAATACTGAACATATTAAAAAAATATGGTTGCCTAGGAATGTCTTTATCAAAGAAATTGCATTTAAACATATAAATATAGGGAGTACTTGAATTCCTGCAGGGTCTGTTCTTTTAATTATACAACATAAAGAATTGCAGCTGCTGAGGTTAAGGTTGTTACTTGCTAATAAACTGGCTTAACCTGCAGCCAAGGTGGCAAATGGAAGTCTACAAGGGAAAGGGAGGAAATGGAAAGAAGAAAAAAAGATGAAAACTTAAATTAAACCACCTGCCACCTCTAAGCATTCTTTGTTGGCCTGGCGGTCTAGTGTGAGTTTCATTGAGAAAGTTCCGAGATGATGTTTGCAATTTCAAGCACTTTCAGGCATGACTAATCACATGTTGTGAATTCAAGACCCCAAACAGCTGCAAAAGCAGTGCCTGAGGGACTGGATCTGTGTCCCTTGCATGTCAGTGTTAGGACAAGCCAACCAGCTGTAATCTCTCTCTCTCTTTTCCCCCATCCCCCTCCCCCCCCCTCACACAGCAGATAAAGTAGTCTAGATGTTAATGCTCCTGTAATGATGTGAAAGAGACTGACTTCTTATTTATAGGAACCATGATGATCCGGTCACCTACCAGGGCACCAGTATTTGGGCAATTTTTGATATCTCAGTCCCGTAAAATGAATTACCCTGAGAGGAGGTCATTGAATGGGTTATTGCTCTCTTAATTTTCTTCCTATTTTCATAAACATTATACATTCTTGCTATACACAGAGGATGTGGAAGGAATTTATAACTAACCAGTATTCTTTATTTTCTTTTTTACACTTTGTATCAGTGTCATGTAATTTCTATGGGTGGGGAAATCAGAAACAGCTATTGTGAGCTTCCAATGAAATCTCATTACATGGGTCAGAAACTACAGCTGCAACATCTGTATCATCCTCCACGAGCTCCATTCTGAGGAAATTCCAGCTTGCATAAAGTGATTTGGAAACTACAGAATTTCCAGTGCTACACACTTCTGAGAAATCTCACTGCAGTGGGCAGGTCTCCTTGGCATACATTCCAAATGTTGTCAGGAGTGCAAACAAAGTCTGAAGTTGTCTAACCCTTGTTTTTTGCACTTATCTATTCTCATTCTCATACCCAGAGCCTGACACCACAGACACACTATTTCCTTCCCCCGCCCCCGCCCCCCCCCAGTATAATGGAAAACAGCACCAGATAAGCTTTGCTTAATATGGCTAATAACTAGCAATACTCAGCTATACCATCATCTTAACATAAGAGATCAGCAACACAAGACACAATATTTTCTTCAAGAATGGCCTTTATTCTTTTTTCTTACATGGAGCCATCCATTTCTGAGAGAGAGAGAGAGAGAGAGAGACCAGATTAAAGACCCTTTGTAGCTTTTTATTCATTCTACAATGGCGCCTTTAAATTTGAGAAACTGATCTCAAATTATCTGATTCTATGACTGTGAGAAAATGACACATGTACTCTTTAGGTGTAATCAATCAAAGGTAAATGTGTCTGGACCATACCTTTGCATAATCAAATCCATGTTTCTCTTTGTAGCCATTGTGACAAACGGAGTAATTATAAAAGCGAGAGTTCTTGATTAATCCAACCCACTCTCTCCACCCAGGAGGGATGTAGCTGCCATTGTATTCATTGAGGTATTTCCCAAAAAAAGCTGTGAAGGAGAAAAAAGGCACATACATCAGGGAAATTTTGGCTTTTCACTCTCAATTTTCTAGTTCATCTCAAAAGCATAAATATGTGAATGAAGGGTCCTATTTTACTGTGGACCACATCAACATAAAAATGTGTTAATATGAGTCAAGATGTTGCACGTCTGAAATTCAGATAAAATAACCGCCAATATTAATAGTTTCATATTTTTAAAATTAAAATGAGGTATTTCCCAGACCCTGTTGCCAACTCTCCTGATTTTAGATGTTTTTCTTAAGCCCCAGCTCCTGGAGTCATGTGATCATATGAGACTCTTACTTTTCATTTAAAATGAATAAGTTTCTAGCAATCATGGTTGTAGAGAAAAGTTTGAAAATGGACTATATGGTCAAAACCCAGAAGGTAAATTAAAAAACCCAAAATTTTTTAGAATCTCATGAGTAAGCCAAATTTCACATTGTTTAGGATTTGGCTCATGATTTTTGAATGTTTGTAGTTGGCCATACTGCTACACTTCCTGGCTGGATACAGGAGTTGCGGACATTGGTCTATGGCAGGACTCATAGCAATCCCTTGGAACTGATGGGCAAAAACGCAGGACACTGTCTTTGGGAAAGAAAATGCTCCTTCTTAGAAGAGCCTAGTTTGAGAAGGTCAGTCTGTTACTACAGGTTCTGTGAGGCAGAAGTGAAGGAGATGAGAGGACCAAGGAAGCAGGCTATAGGTCTGCTGCTACTAAGAGTGACATGCAATAACATGGACAGTTCTTTCCCTGAGAGCTGCTCCTGATCTATTGCCAGAAGCTACCTCCTTTATCCAGAGCTGGTAACTCTCAGAAGTCAGGTCCATTCATTTGCTATTTCTTCCTTCACCCCAACACCCCAAGTGACTGCAGTTCCTCATACCAGTTCCCAGAGGGGAATGAAGAGTGGGTGAATCCTTCAGTGGATACACTTTCCACTGTCTACCTCATCAACAGTCAGAAATGAGGGGCTTTCCTGTGCACACCAAGCCAGACTCCTTTGGGGGTGAGTGACCAAGAGGATGTTTCCCTTCCCACAGGCAAAGTCCCTATGCTGGTAAATTGCCTATAGTTCCCCGGTGTTGTTCTGAATTGTACCTCAGATATGACAAATGCTGTTTTTAACCAGGAAATGGAAGCAGCTAGGGAAACACCAAATTCAATCTGAACAAAAAGCACATGTGTGGGAAGGTTTACAAAACAATTCCCAGTGGAGGGCGGGGGAGGTTACCATGCCAGCTTCACCATTTGAATTTGAAAGTGCTGGAAAAAGGGGAAAATATCAGAATGTTCAGTCTGGTCTCCTTTGGCATGTGCAGGGGTGCCTGGGCTGGGTGCCCGGTCAGAGTAGCGAGTGGAAGCCATTCTCCCTGGGATCCCTTATCCCTGCCTTCCAGGGTGCAGAGGGGGCACATTCACTGCTCCATAACCAGTGGTGTGTGTTTTTCCCCTGACACTTTCATTTTATGTCAAACTTCAAAACAAACAGACAAAAATATATAAAAACAACAGAAAAAAACACCTTCTTTGAACACCCCATTTTAAAAATTAAGAATTGCAAGGTTTCATTTTAATAGATTGACAGCTCTGGAGACTCATGTCCTAATTATCTTCAGAAGAATGGGTTAACACTGATCTGAGCGGCTGACCTTTGCAAATGGAGGTGTGACTTCCATTTGCAACAGAGTGCAATAGACTGCATCACAGATTGTCAGCGTAGACAGGACTAAGGAACTATGGGATACATCCAGAAGACTTCCGGGACCCAAGTCAAGCTGGGGCCATGTGCACACAGGAAAGCAATAGGCTTAACACGCGCTTGGGCCCTGCAGGGTCCTGCAGCCCTAGGTTCGAGTCCTAGATTAACACAATTGGTGTGTGGAAACAAGGGGATTAGGGGCTCAAGCCCAGGCTTAATTTTCTGTGTAGACATACTCTTTAAGGCATCTTTCCTAATCCTTTAATTCATGTGGCTTTCGTCTAAAACCTCTCCAATTTATCAATATCCTTCCTGAATTCTGAGCACCAGAACTGGACACAGCATTCCAGCCGCAGTCATACCAGTGCTAAACATAGAGGTAAAATAACTCTCTACTCCTATTTGAAATTCCCCTATTTATGCATCCAAAGATTGCATTAGCTCTCTTGGCCACAGCCACATCATGATCAGCTGATTATCCACCTGGACCCCCAAATCTTTTTTTCAGAGTCACAGCTTCCCAGGATAGAGTCCCCCGTCATGTAGGTATGGCCTACATTCTTTGTTCCTAGATGTACACATACAGATGTTTACATATTAAAACACATATTGCTTTTTGCACCCAGTTTACCAAGCGATCCAGATCGCTCTGTATCAGTGACATATCCTCTTAAATTATTTACCACTTCCCCAATTTTTGTGTCATCTGCAAACTTTTTCAGTGATGTTTTTATGTTTTCTTCCAACTCATTAATAATTACGTGAAATCGAATGCGACCAAGAACAGATCCCAGCAGGACCCGACTAGAAACATACCTATTTCATATTATTCCTTGTTTACAATTACATTGACACCTATCAGTTATCCACCTTTTAATCCATTTAATGTGTGTTATGTTAATTTTATATCTTTCTAGTTTTTTAATCAAATGTGATTATAAATTCAAATGCCTTACAGAAGTATATTACATCAACACTATTACCTTCATCAGCCAAATTTATAATCTCATCAAAAAAGACAAAGTTAGTTTGACTGGATCTATTTTCCATAAACCCCATTCTGATTGGCATTAATGTTATTAGCCTCCTTTAATTCTTTATTAATCAAGTCCTGTATCAGCTGTTCCATTATCTTGCCTGGGATCTAAGTCAGACTGACAAGTCTATAATTACCCAGGTGAGCCTGTTTACCCTTTTTAAATATTGGCACAACATTAGCTTTCTTCCAATCTTCTGGAACTTCCCTGGTGTTCCTAGACTTATTACAAAATCAACATTAATGTTCCAGCGAGCTCCTCAGCTTGCTCTTTTAAAACTCTTGGATGCAAGTTATCCATATCTGCTGATTTAAATATGTCTAACTTTAGTAGCTGCTGTTTAACATCTTCCTGAGATAATGGTGGAAAAGAAAGAATGTTATCATTTGATATGATTACATCATCTGTTTTTCCCCAGAACAGAAATATTTATGGAACAGTTCTGTCTTTTCTGCATCATTATTGATAATTCTATAATTTACAACTGGTAATGGACCAATACGATTGCTAGAATTCTTTTTGTTCCCAATATACTTTAACAATGCCTCCTTATTGTCCTTACACTTTACTGGTCATAGATTTCTCCGTCTGTCCCTTTGCTTCCCTTGTCAATTTTTTATAATTCCTAGCTTCTAATTTATATCCATTACTATCTAATTCCCCTTTCTTCAATTGTTTTTTATATATATTATATATAATGTAATGTATCTTTCTTTCTTTCTTTTTTCATAGCTGCCTTCACTTTCCCTCTGAACCAGGTCAGTTTTTTAACCAATATGGCCTTCTTCCTCAACTGTGGCTTCTTGGCCATTTAGTAAAGTGTCATATACCATTTACATTTCTCTGATGAAATTCCTCCTCCCAGCTGATTTGGTTCATAATTATTTTCAGCTTTGTGAAATTGGCTCTTTTAAAGCACCAAAATATATATTTATATCACTGGTCTGGACTTTATTCTGTTTGCACATTACAAAGTGATCAAGTCATGATCACTTGTACCTAAGTTACCATTAATTGCTAGTTCTGTAATCAGTTCTTCTTTATATTTGATGAGGTTTAATATAGAATTCCCTCATATTGGATGCAACACTTTTTGATTAGTATGATCCATGCGGTTTACATACCTGTCAAGTGTCATTCATCTGGAGTGACAGTCACACATTGGCCTTGATGCCACTATCATGCCAGCGGAATTTCACTCATAAGAAAGGCTGCGAATCATTCACGGAGGTCACGGCTTCTGTGACTTTCCATGACCTCCGTGAATTTTTCAGCACTGGTGCAGCTGACCTCAGGACCACCCCAGCAGCTGGGGAAGCCCAGGGGCCAGCCGCACCGGATGCTACTCTGGCAGCCCCAGGCAGCTTGTCCCCGGTGCTTCCCTGGAGCAGCGATCTGGGACCAGTGGTGGTGGTGGCAGGGCCACGGGCCATCCTCAGCCCGGACCAGCGGTGGTGGGGCCCTGGGTTGCCCCCCGCCTGGACCAGCGGTGGTGGCGGGGAGACCCTGGGCTGCCCCCAGCTGGAATGGCAGCGGCAGTGGGGCCACAGGCCACTCCTCCCAGCAGCGGCAGGGGGCCCCAAGCCGCCCCCCTCCAGTGGCAGGGGGCCCCAGGCTCCCCCACCCCAGCTACAGCGGGGCCTCAGACTCCCACCCTCAGCAGCAGTTTTCAGGAGCGCCCACCTCCCAGCAGGTAAGCTTAAGTCACAGGTATTTTTAGTTAAAGTCATGGACAGGTCATGGGGCTGTGACTTTTTATTTATTGCCCGTGACCTGTCCGTGACTTTTACTAAAAATAACCCATGACTAAAACGTAGCCTTACTCATAAGCAAGGCCTGAAGACAGTGAGCAAGATTTTCTGTCAACTCCTCCTCCTCCCAGCTACTGGAGGCTATCCTGGGACTACTTAGTAGGTGGCTACATCTCCCTCCTGTTCCCCTCTCACTGCTCCCCCTGTGACTCTTAGGGGAGAACCGCAAGGCAGGAAGTGGGGCGGAATAGAATCATAGAAGATAAGGGTTGGAAGAGACCTCAGGAGGTCATCTAGTCCAACCCCCCGCTCAAAGTAGGACCAACCCCAACTAAATCATCCCAGCAGAGCTTTGTCAAGCCGGGCTTTAAAAACCTCTATGGTTGGCAGCACTGCGGTCGTGCTGAGAATCTGCATATTTCACCACCAGAAGGCAGCTAAGATGTGAATCTCTCACAGAACCAGAGGGGTTACAAAGAAACTTAACAAGAG